TGTGCTTCGACAATGTGCCTGAAATACTTCACCGATTCATAGATGGCAAGCAACTCACGATAATACGCAGGCCACGCACTTTGTTTCACCGACATTTTCTTTGAAAAAAATGCTATGGGTTGCCAGATGTTATTGACTCGCTGCTGCAGACATGCGCCGATAGATTGGCTAGATGCGTCTGTGAATAGTCCAAGTCGTGCGGCTGGATGAGGATGTGCTAAAAGAGTAGCGGTCGCAAGACTTTCTTTGCATGTGGTGAACGCTTTTTCTACCTCGGGAGTCCATTCTATCGGTTGGGAACCTTTTGACTTCGGGCCTTTGAGAATACCGTGAAGTGGTGCTTGCAGGTCGGCAGCTTTGGGAATAAACCGGCGATAAAAATTTACCATTCCCAAAAACCGGCGTAATCCTTGCATAGATTTTGGCAATGGATACTGTCGTAGGGCGTCGAGGCGTTCCGGTGGCGGGTGGGTGCCTTCAGAAGATACTAGGTAACCTAGAAATTTCACCTCAGCCGAACCTAATACACATTTTTGCGGGTTAACGACAACACCGTAGTCAGAAAGTCTCCCGAAAAGAGTGCGTAAATGCTGTTTGTGGTCCTCTTCCGATCACGTCGAGGTCACCAATGTAGCGAGGTGTAATATATAGAAGTAATAAACACTTTTATGATTTAATAACAACTATACTATATTACAACGAACTAACAAATAACAGCGAGAGACGAAGCGCGTTTAAGACAGAGTGCGTAAGTGATTGACTGATCGATTGATTGACTGGAGCGACGATCTTGCCCTTAAATAGTCAGAGGAATCTTCTAGAGACGGCGGCGGAACTCTCTAGAACATTCAACCGCCACACATCTGTCTCCGAATGCTCTTTATTTTTGGCTTTTTATATTAAATTTGACCGTAGTTCAAAGGCAAGAAGTAATCCCCGACGCCACCGTTATTTCTTTATTAATCGTAATTTATTACATTATCATCAATAATGATCTACATATTATAAAATACAATCATATCTCATATAATAATTTAGACATAGTTTATTACCCTTCATCTTATGTGCTACCATTACATATTGTTTATTATTTCCTGTTTGTTTTATATAATTAATATATACTCTTTTTCTACGAAATTTCATTCGTATTTTTAAACATTTAAAAGGTACATATATCTATATTTTATTTTTATTAGTATAAATTTTATTTTGTGTGATTGATTGATTGAAGTCTTAAATAATGCATTATGACATTAATGATCTATTGTTTATACAAATAATTTATTATGAAATTAATGATGTACTATGTATATCATTACACAATGTATTTTAAAATCCCCTCCATTTTAAAAACACATGAAAAAAAGTTCAAACATTCAATGTTAAAATATGTTTTTATTATAATTGATATGATTAATATTCAAAAATTGTCTTAAAGTCTATTTTTAATTGAACATAAATAAATCTGACCATCGAAGTTGAAAAATACTGTTTGATAATTCCTTGTCATTTATTTGATTGGATATTCCCTAAAATATCAACGAAAATATAACTTATGCTCTTAATACCACTACCTGATTATCTTGAACCTAAGGTCATCACAATAGCACATCAAATCGACACATAGTGTTAGCGCAGTTTGAACCAGTAGTCCATAGAGTAACCAACGACTGGTATAATCATTTTACAACTGTACCTTGATGAGGGTCACAAAAAAAATGTCAACTTTAAAAACATTGATGCTTATTGTCTTTGTACTCGCGGCCTTACAATTACAAACCTACTGTAAGTGTAAAATTAATTCACAATTGATTTCAATTATTAAATATGTTATATATAAATAATGATTTATTTTATGATTAAACTAGATAAATTAGTAAAATCAAGATCATAAATATAAATATAATACTCAAATTACACTAATTTTATAGTCAATATTTTATTGACATTCTTTATTAATTTGATACATAATAAATTAATCACTAAGCAGATAACTAAGAATTTAAACTAATTAATAGCTCTTTAAAAGAGTTTAAACTGCATTTTATTAATAATAAATAATAAAACTTTACATAATGTCGGCAGATAATATTTTATATGAAAAATTGTACATAATATTTTAAAATAAATATGTAATATTACATATTAAAGTTGGTTACCAGTTATATCAACTGGTTGGGTTGGGTTTTAAGAATTAAGTTGCTTAATATAACTTTTTTTTTATCAATAAATTAAAATATAACNGAATTAAGTTGCTTAATATAACTTTTTTTTTATCAATAAATTAAAATATAACAAAAAAGTGTAATTATAAATATTTAAAGAAAAACTGGCAAAATATTATGATTTATTTGTATTAAAGTAAATATATAGGTAGAAATGTTATATAATAATAATACATAGTATATAACCATTATTAAATACATTTTATTTACATATGTTAATAAATAAATAATTTTCTTAGAACAAATAGTAACTACTATTTTATTTTAAATCAATTTTATCAACGTGCAAAACTGAAAAATGTATATTAATAATACACTTCTTGATTGATTTACGTGACAAAGAATAATTTTATATTTTATTGTTTTTAAATAACCATGTGCATTACTGCAAAAGGAAACATTTTTTTTTGAATGTCACGTTTATATAATCTAAAATCGTAAATTTGTCACCTTTCTGTAATTAATATTCTAAATATGAATCTTTTGTTCTGAATAAAAGAAATATTTCTAGTAATACAAAAAAGGTCGTTAAAAAATATCAAGTTGGCATTAGTTTAGACCGGACCAGTTCTTCTTTGGCTGAGCTTTAATATTTACACATCAAAGGGCATATACTATAAAGACTTATTTATCATTGATCACTCAATATCTCCTAAAATATGGATATTAATAAATTTCTTTTGTACATCGAATACTGTGAAATGGTAATAAAATCTAAAATTGGATTACCCGAAAACTATCTTTTCTTCGAAAACTACTAATTTTTTTTAACATTACAAGATAATAAAATAATAGTTACTACAAAAAAATTATGTAATGTTTGATTAAATTGTTCATTATGAATAATATGTTTATTATTATATTATTATTATTATAATAATATGATAATTTATCATTTAACTGACAATAAAATTCATCTTTTTTTTTTCTAAAATTATTTATTATTTTTTTTAAAAAATCATAATTAATTCAATTAAAATTATATTATAAAAAATATATATTTAAGGTAATTGTCAATTATTGGGAATTAAACCACCTATATTATTGAAAAAGTCACACGAAAACACTGATAATTCTACAGAAAAATCTAATACTAATGAATTGTTAGAAAATCTCAGAAGTTCAAGTATAAATGTAGTGAGTGGTACAAAGAACATTACAGAAACAACCGTTGATAAGGTAAAAGAAAATAATGAAAAACTGATGCATGGTTTAATAGATTGGTCCAAGTCATCTATTGAGGATGTTATTATCAAAGCAAAATGTATTATTCCAAAAGATGCAAATAATATTACTAGAGCTGCTCTCCTTCAACAATGCTTATCTCCCAGCTTTGGTAAGTATCCCGAATTTTGGTTATTAATAAATAAGTAGAATTAATTCTACTTAATAATTATTATAGACAGCAAGTTAATTATAATTAACCCATTAAATAAATTCTCGAGTTAAATTTTATTAACGGGAATTTTTTACCAAAAATAATTAAGAAAATCTTTTTTTAATTTGTATAAAATGTACTTTACTCCAGATTACCTACTTCGATGAACGTATTTGCGTAAAGATTATTTAGATAGTACAGTTATCATAAAAAAAATCATATAACTGCGATTAGTTATAAATTATTTTATAAATCCCAGCTAATTTATTATCTCCAAATGAAATACTTTAATAAAAAAAATAAAAATGTATAAAAAAAATTCCTGTTGAAAAATGTTCGTTTTTATCATAACATAATCATGTGGGTTTGGTTGGGTTTTTTTTTTAAATATATCGCTCGAAAAGAATTAATTTTTGTTATTATACGATTTGTTTTACTTTATTATTATTATTATTTTATTATTTTATTTGTTTAAAAATATTTTACGTGCATTGATATTACACATTTTTGGTTTTTTGAATACGTTCTGTCAATTTTTTTTTTTATTAAAGGCCACAAGGAAAGAGAAATCTATATTTATTTCACGTGTATCAAAATCTGAATTACATTTTTGTTTTGGTTCGTTTTTTTTAACATATTATTTTATTTTAATTAATCTTTACGACTTTCTCAGTCAAATATTTATAAGAAGAGCTGATAATTTGTAACATTTTCTTCCTTTTTTTTAATAATCTATTGCTTATGCAGCACAAAATCCCACTAATTTTAAATAATAAAAATCAATTTTTGACATATTTAACAGAGTTATGAAAATATCGATAAACACATTTTTATTTTTTAACATATTGAAGGGCTCAATGAATTGATTTTTTCATAAAATATTTTTTAATAAAATTTAATAAATGTGATTTATTACTTAATTCAAAACAAATAAGAGTTCTATACCTCTTATTGTATGTGCAGATTCATTATAAAAAAACCTCTTTTACCATTGCTTTTAATGAAACATTAATCCCGACAATTTGTAACATTGTTAAATAGACTGAATAAATAAAAGTATGCCACTTTTCATTATAAGTTTTGTTTTAAATATCCAAAATTATCTACATAATTTATGTCTTATAATTAATAAATTTCAAATAAAACTTATAGATTTCTATTTTATACATTTATAAAAATCTTAATTAATATAAATAAAATATAAAAATTGTGGACTATATAAATATAAACGAAATAATAGTGTAAATAATGTATTTTAACTTATAATAATCCATTTTATAGAACAATACCTCACCAATGTACTAATTTATCAATTCAACGTAAATAATTAGTATAGATAATTCTCCTTTAAAATCTAATATAACATATATCTTATAATAATTATTTTTTTATTTTAGGCGTACATAAAGAAACTGATAACATTATGCGATCAGCATTAAAAACTTTAAATGTTGCAAAAAAAATTAATGATACAACCATTAATATAACAACAAAAGATTCAAATAAACTATCAAACATAGCAGCAAGCGGGTTGATAGATTGGTCGAATTCATCTATAGAAGATGCTATCATTAAAGCAAATTGTATTATACCAAAAGACGCAGATAGTATTACTAGAGCTCTACTCCTCCAACAATGTTTCTATCCTAACTTCAGTAAGAATTTTTCACTGTTTTCAATTAAACAAATGAATATTTTTTCGAAAATAAATTAAAAAAATATATATATTTAAATTTACTATTATTTTTTAATGTTTATGTTCTCTCTAAAATTAATTGCTTATTCTACGCAACGGAATCGACCCAATTACCTTCATACCCGAATCATGATGCTTATTTAAAATCGAGGTTAACAATAAAGCTAAAACTTTAATTTAACTCCTTATTTGAATGATACAATGTATTTAATTTATCACGCGAACAAGAACCGAATCCGGAACAATCAATTAAAAAAATAAAAAATTGAAAATATCGAAACCCGAATAAATTTTTAAAAAAACCCTATCATAATTCAAATTAAAACACTGGTACTTTAAAAGTCGTTTTCAATTCTTTTAAATTATATATAGGATATTTTTTAATTATATTTAAAAAACAAGCTATTTTTATAGTTTTTTCAGTTATGATTTAATCATTCGTAAACAACTTGTTTAGATAATACAGATGCTTTTATTATCAAGGAAACACAATGCTTTGATGGACTCGGTTGTTTTCCTATGGAAAAACCATGGACTTCTCTTTTAAGACCGTTACCCATGCCTATGACACCTGATGAAGTAGGAACTAAATTATATTTGTACACAAGGTAAATATAAATTCATACGTGAAAACATATATTTATTAAAGTGTTTAAAATTATGAAAGTTGTATTATTTAGAAATATTTTCTTTCAGAAATCAGCCGGGGCGATACAATGTAAGTATCTGGCCTGAAATATCTTTAGACGGATCCGACTTTGATTCAAAAAGGCCTTATACAGTATTCATAACGCATGGATATATACACAATGGTAACGAGTCATGGCTTCTTGATCTCAAAGATGCATACTTAAAACAAGTAATAATATAGTTTACATAATACACTATATGTACATACATATTATAGTTTTCGTTTACTTTCCAAGGTATTCATATATAAAACTAGGAACACAAATTTTTTATAAATAATAATTTAAAAACGTACTTGATTTTAGGAGGGTAATAAAAATATTATAATATTTTAGCATCGATGCGAAGCTGAGAAGGTATTAATTTTTCTATGATGCGTTTTTTTTTTATTTATATATTTATTTTTTAGCTTCGATGCGAAGCTGAGAAGGTATTAATTTTACTATGATGTGTTTATTTTTTTTTTTTGTGTGTCTGTTGCCACTTTTTCTCAGCTCTCACTGGACCGATTTCTTTCAACAATACGTCAAAAGATCACAAATCGTATCTAGTTGAAGACATTACCCTTAAAAATTGAAAAATTTTCCCTCGTTCCCCGCAAATGGGAGAAATATCCAAAAAAATTACATAATATTTTTTTATACTAAAACCTTAGATATTTTCCTTTCATTTGATATCATTTTTTTGAAAATCTAACACTTAACCTGCTCATTGGGGGGG